TTACCTTTACCTTTACCTTTACCTTTACCTCTACCTCTACCTCTACCTCTCCCTCTCCATCTATCTATCTATCTATCTATCTATCTATCTATCTCTACCTCTACCTCTACCTCTACCTCTACCTCTACCTCTACCTCTACCTCTACCTCTACCTCTATCTCTACCTCTACCTCTACCTCTACCTCTACCTCACCTCTACCTCTACCTCTACCTCTACCTCTACCTCTCCCTTTACCTTTACCTTTACCTTTACCTTTACCTTTACCTTTACCTTTACCTTTACCTTTACCTTTACCTCTACCTCTACCTCTACCTCTACCTCTACCTCTATCTCTACCTCACCTCTACCTCTACCTCTACCTCTACCTCATCTCTATCTCTACCTTACCTCTATCTTTACCTTTACCTTTTTGCAAATTATGGTGGAAAATAAGTATTTGGTCATCTACAAATACAAAGGACTACCACCTCACCCGCCTCATAGGAAATCTGCTACAAAACAGGAGCTTTTTTGTTGAGTTGCAGGGCCAGAGAAGAAAATGGCGGAAACAGAAGAACGGCCTGCCTCAGGGGAGCGTGTTTGCTCCATCCATGTTCAACATTTACACAAATGACCAGCCACTGCCAGAAGGGACAGAGAGTTTCATCTATGCAGATGATCATGCCATCACCACTCAAGCAGGGAGTTTTGAGATGGTTGAACAGAAGCTCTCTGAAGCTCTAGGTGCTCTTACTGCCTATTACAGGGAAAACCAGCTGATCCCTAATCCATATAAAACACAGACATGTGCTTTTCACCTGAAGAACAGACAAGCATCCTGGTCTCTGAGGATTTCCTGGGAAGGAATCCCACTGGAGCATTGCAGTGGACTCAAATACCTGGGAGTCATTCTAGACCATGCCCTGACCTACAAGAAGCACTGCCTGAATATCAAGCAAAAAGTGGGCGCTAGAAATAATATCATACGAAAGCTGTCTGGCACAACCTGGGGATCACAACCAGACACAGTGAAGACATCTGCCCTTGCGTTTTGCTACTCTGCTGCCCAGTGTGGAACACATCTCATCACGCTAAAACAGTGGATGTGGCTCTGAATGAGACAGGGTGTCTGCGAGCTACACCACTGGAGAAATTACACTGTTTAGCACCACCTGACATCCGCCTGACATCCGGTTTTGTCAGTAAGGAACTTGCCTGCTGCAGAAATTCATCAACAGATTTGTGAAGTGTACGGTGATACTGTTATGAGCGAAAGCAAAGTGTGTAAGTGGGTATGACAATTCAAAGATGGCCGTGACAACGTCCATGATGAGGACCACTCCGGTCGCCCTTCTTTGATTACAGACGATTTGATTTGATCGCACACTCAAATCTTTGGTTTTTGTGGTCCTCTGTCAGGAGTTTCGGGACCCAACGGGAGCACAGTTTCCTAAACTTTAGGTGTTCAGAAACAATGTTGTAAAGCACTGATCTCGACACATCAGGAAATTGGTTTGAGAGACCTGTTATTGTGAAGCGCCTGTTCTCACGAATCCTCGCTTCAACTGAAGCGACCAAATCGTCTGTAATCAAAGAAGGGCGACCGGAGTGGTCCTCATCATGGACGCTGTCACGGCCATCTTTGAATTGTCGTACCTACTTACGCACTTTGCTTTCACTCATAACAGTATCACCGTACACTTCACAAATCTGTCAATGGATTTCTGCAACAGGAAGGTTCCTTGCTGACAAAAACTGTATCACTGAGTGAACCTCACATGCGGCGGGTGAGTTGATAGTCTTACACATTTTTAAAGCACAGAACAGAACCGTACAGGTGAGCTACAGAGCGGAAACTGAGCACAGTTGTTCCCCAGGCATGCCGGTACACCACGCACGTGCTCGTTGCGGTATGTGCGCAAACTACTAGTGTCTACAACAAAACGGACCTTACTTTAAAAATACCCCTCGTATAACATAGTATTGAGATGAACTTTTGTTATGGACCAAATACTTATTTTCCACCATCATTTGTGAATAAATTTGTTAAAAATCAGACAATGTGATTTTCTGGAGAACTTGTACAATTGGTATCTGACTAAACACTTTCCCCCCCACTGTTTATTCTTATTTACTTTAGTCCTCTTTGCAGGAAGTAAGAAATCCTTTGCATGTGAGAAAGAAAGAAATAGGGGAGGAAAGCCAGTAATAATATTTTGATCTCATAACCATACCGTAGGCTAATTGGTTGCTTTGGGTCAACCCGACAACACAATTTTTTGTGGAAAATAGAGCAAAGAAGACAGAAACATATAGCTTGTAAGCAGGAGTGGCCACTTCCAAACAAATGGGAGTCTCATGTCTATGGTGATCTGTTGCAGAACAGGAGCTCGGAAAGGTAACTTTTTAAAATTACTCTTCCCAGGTCAGGCTTCAGAGAAGGGATTCTGACCACAACTGCAACTGAAAACAAAGGCAGAAATCTGGTAAAGGAAATATATTGTATATGGCAAGGTCTACATGTTTGACACCATTTTAATTGCTGTGATTTATAGGAATTAGACATGTGCAATCCATGGTTCTAAATGTTTCTAAAATACTTACAAAACTAAAGTTCTGGTGGTGAAAACTAGGGGGCGCTGGTGCTTTGCTTCTACAGCGTTGCGAACGTTCTGGTGGTGAAAATTTCAGAACTCTAACAAAATTTTCACAATTTCGTTATAAACGGCAGTTCCTAATGGGTTCTGTTGTAAAAATCACCAATAATGAAAGAATAATGAAATTTCGAAATTTCATTATAAACGGCAGTTCCTAATGGGTTCTGTCATAAAAATCACCAATAATGAAATAATAATGAAATTTCGAAATTTCATTCTAAACGGCAGTTCCTAATGCGTTCTGTCATAAAAAATCACCAATAACGAAATAATAATGAAATTTCGAAATTTCATTCTAAACGGCAGTTCCTAATGGGTTTCTGTCATAAAAAATCACCAATAATGAAATAATAATGAAATTTCGAAATTTCATTCTAAACGGCAGTTCCTAATGGGTTCTGTCATAAAAATCACCAATAATGAAATAATAATGAAATTTCGAAATTCCATTATAAACGGCAGTTCCTAATGGGTTCTGTCATAAAAAATCACCAATAATGAAATAATAATGAAATTTCAAAATTTCAATCTAAACGGCAGTTCCTAATGGGTTCTGTCATAAAAATCACCAATAATGAAATAATAATGAAATTTCGAAATTCCATTATAAACGGCAGTAACTAATGGGTTCTGTCATAAAAAATCACCAATAATGAAATAATAATGAAATTTCGAAATTTCATTATAAACGGCAGTTCCTAATGAGTTCTGTCGTAAAAATCGCCAATAAGGAAATAATAATAAAATTTGAAATTTCATTCTAAACAGCAGTTCCTAATGGGTTCATTTGTAAAAATCACCAATAATGAAATAATAATGAAATTTTGAAATTTCATGATAAACGGCAGTTCCTAATGGGTTCTGTCATAAAAAATCACCAATAATAAAATAATAATGAAATTTCGAAATTCCATTATAAACGGCAGTTCCTAATGGGTTTTGTCATAAAAAATCACCAATAATGAAATAATAATGAAATTTCGAAATTCCATTATAAACGGCAGTTTCTAATGGGTTCTGTCATAAAAAATCACCAATAATGAAATAATAATGAAATTTCGAAATTCCATTATAAACGGCAGTTCCTAATGCGTTCTGTCATAAAAAATCACCAATAACGAAATAATAATGAAATTTCGAAATTTCATTCTAAACGGCAGTTCCTAATGGGTTCTGTCATAAAAAATCACCAATAACAAAATAATAATGAAATTTCGAAATTTCATTCTAAACGGCAGTTCCTAATGGGTTCTGTCATAAAAATCACCAATAATGAAATAATAATGAAATTTCGAAATTCCATTATAAACGGCAGTTCCTAATGGGTTCTGTCATAAAAAATCACCAATAATGAAATAATAATGAAATTTCGAAATTTCATTATAAACGGCAGTTCCTAATGGGTTTTGTCATAAAAAATCACCAATAATGAAATAATAATGAAATTTCGAAATTTCATTCTAAACGGCAGTTCCTAATGGGTTCTGTCGTAAAAATCGCCAATAATGAAATAATAATTAAATTTGAAATTTCATTCTAAACAGCAGTTCCTAATGGGTTCATTTGTAAAAATCACCAATAATGAAATAATAATGAAATTTCGAAATTTCATTATAAACGGCAGTTCCCAATGGGTTCTGTCATAAAAAATCACCAATAATGAAATAATAATGAAATTTCGAAATTCCATTATAAACGGCAGTTCCTAATGGGTTTTGTCATAAAAAATCACCAATAATGAAATAATAATGAAATTTCGAAATTCCATTATAAACGGCAGTTTCTAATGGGTTCTGTCATAAAAAATCACCAATAATGAAATAATAATGAAATTTCGAAATTCCATTATAAACGGCAGTTCCTAATGGGTTCTGTCATAAAAATCACCAATAACGAAATAATAATGAAATTTCGAAAGTTTTGTTAGAGTTCTGAAATTTTCACCACCAGAACTTTAGTAACACTGTAGAAACAAAGCACCAGCGCCCCCTAGTTTTCACCACCAGAACTTTAGTTTTGTAAGTACTTTAGAACCATTTAGAACCATGCCTAATAGGAATCATAGGAATTGTACATTACAAGGTTGATAGCTGTTCTCTTCCAAATTACAAATTTATTTATTATTTACTATACTTGTATACCACCTTTGTCAGCCTATCGGCGACTCAAGGCAGTTCCAAATTCCAGGATTCCATAGCAATGAGCCATGGTAGTTAAAGTGGTGTCAAACTGCATCATTTCTACACTGTGGACATGCTATATATCTAGTAAAAATTATTTTCGAAAGGTTCCCAGAATCTCCTAGGCATCTTTTCAGGCGTATCCAACCAGTAGTCTGAAAACCCCCACTTATTGGTACTTACTCCCAGTTGGGATCAGGTCCCTGTCTGGAATGAAGAGCTTGTATCCATAGTGTTTCTCCAGAACGTCGGGCAAGATTTCAAGTGCAAATTGTTCCTCTTCACTGTTGTCGCAGTCTAAAGTGTCTGGGTCCACTTTTGTGTAAGACAGATAGGCGTCGTATTCCTTATTGTCTGTAAAGAAAGTCACAAATTGCATTTCAAATGGAATTAAAAAGAGGTTGAAGGTGGACATTTTCTAAAACAAAGGCTGTGTAGCACCAAAGTTGCACCAAAGGAACGAAGAATCATGCAGGGAGAAGTTATTTAAGAGTAAAACTGGATTGCCGAAGGTTTTCATGGCCGGAATCATAGGTTTTTTTTGGGATATATGGCCTTGTAGCCCAAAAAACCTACAACAACCCAAACGACAACAAAACTGGTGGGTCTTCTATCAGTAGAGCAGTGAATTAATGCCCAACTTTACTGCTCAACTTTACTCCAAACATTAAAGGCGTTACTCTTGATCTCATCCTAACAAATGCGGAGGACCTGATCGATGCGGTTGAAGTGGTCGGATCCTTAGGGGCAAGTGACCATGTGCTCCTGCAATTTGAGGTCCAAAGGAAGGCCAAAACTAAGACAAGTCAAACCCGCATTTTGGACTTTAGGAGAGCTGATTTCCGAAAAATGAAGGGAACACTGAGCAGCATTCCGTGGACACAGATACTAAAAGACAAGGGCGTTATGGATGGATGGGAATTTCTCAAGAGTGAAATATTCAAGGCCAATTGCAAACTGTGCCAACAAAGAGAAAAAATAGGACAAGTGCAAAGAAACCAGAATGGATGTCCAAAGAACTTCTAACTGTGCTAAAACACAAAAGAGACATGCACAAGAAATGGAAAAAGGGAGAAATCACCAAAGAAGAATTCAAACAAATAGCCAACACCTGTAGGAAAAAGGTTTGCAAGGCTAAAGCACAAAACAAGCTCAGGCTTGCCAGGGACATTAAAAACAATAAAAAGGGCTTCTTTTCTTCTGTCAGTAGAAAAAGGAAAAATAAGGAGGCGATAGGGCCTCTTTGAGGAGAAGATGGGGCAATGCTGACAGGGGATAGGGAAAAGGCAGAACTACACAATGCCGCAGGGTTCCGTCCTGGGCCCGGTCCTGTTCAACATCTTTATTAATGACTTAGATGAAGGGCTAGAAGGCATGATCATCAAGTTTGCAGACGACACCAAATTGGGAGGGAGAGCCAATACTCCAGAGGACAGGAGCAGAATTCAAAACGATCTTGACAGATTAGAGAGATGATTGGCCAAAACTAACAAAATGAAGTTCAACAGGGACAAATGCAAGAGACTCCACTTAGGCAGAAAAAATGAAATGCAAAGATACGGAATGGGGGACAATGCCTGGCTCGAGAGCAGTACGTGTGAAAAAGATCTTGGAGTCCTCGGGACAACAAGTTAAACATGAGCCAACAATGTGATGTGGCGGCAAAAAAAGTCAATGGGATTTTGGCCTGCATCAATAGGAGCATAGTGTCTCGATCTAGGGAAGTCATGCTCCCCATGCTCTATTCCGCTTTGGTTAGACCACACCTGGAATATTGTGTCCAATTCTGGGCACCACAATTCAAGAGAGATATTGACAAGCTGGAATGTGTCCAGAGGAAGGCGACTAAAATGATCAAGGGTCTGGAGAACAAGCCCTATGAGGAGCGGCTTAAGGAGCTGGGCATGTTTAGCCTGAAGAAGAGAAGGCTGAGAGGAGATATGATAGCCATGTATAAATATGGGAGAGGAAGCCACAGGGAGGAGGAGGGAGCAAGCTTGTTTTCTGCTTCCCTGGAGACTAGGACGCAATGGAACAATGGCTTCAAACTACAAGAGAGGAGATTCCATCTGAACATGAGGAAGAACTTCCTGACTGTGAGAGCTGTTCAGCAGTGGAACTCTCTGCCCCGGAGTGTGGTGGAGGCTCCTTCTTTGGAAGGTTTGAAACAGAGGCTGGATGGCTATCCGTCAGGGGTGATTTAAATGCAATACTCCTGCTTCTTGGCAGAATGGGGTTGGACTGGATGGCCCAGGAGGTCTCTCCCAACTCTTTGATTCTAGGATTGTATGAGTTACTGTTTAGGGTTAAACCTGTTTTGAGCACTGCCTCCAGAAGCCAGAGATGAAAGGGGAAGCCTTAGCCTTTGTTCTGTGTAGTTGTATGCCAGTGGTTCTCAACCTTCTTAATGCCATAACCCCTTAAAACAATTCCTCATGTGGTGGTGACCCCCAACTGTAACATTATTTTCGTTGCTATTTCATAACTGTAATTTTGCTACTGTTATGAATCGTAATGTAAATATCTGATATGCAAGATATATTTTCAAATCCCAATTACCTGATATGCCCAAATTTGAATACTGGTGGGATGGGAGTGATTGATTTTGTCATTTGGGAATGTTGGAGTTGCTGGGGATTTATAGTTCACCTACAATCAAAGAGCCTTCTGAACTCCACCAATGATGGAATTGAATCAAACTTGGCACACAGAATTCCCATGACCAAGAGAAAATACTGGGAGGGTCTGGTGGACATTGACCTTGAGTTTTTGGAGTTGTAGTTCACCTACACCCAGAGAACACTGTGGACCCAAACAATGGTGGATCTGGACCAAACTTGGCACCAATACTCAATATGCCCAAATGTGAACACTGGTGGAGTTTGGGGAAAATAGACCTTGCCATTTGGGCGTTGTAGTTGATGGGATTTATAGTTCACCCACAATGAAATAGCATTCTGAACTCCACCAATGATAGAATTGGACCAAACTTCCCACACAGAACCTCCATGACCAACAGAAAATGCTATGTTTTCTGATGGTTTTTGGCGACCCCTCTGACACCCCCTTGCGACCCCCACAGGGGTCCTGACCCCCAGGTTGAGATACACTGTTGTATGCCATTGTTATTCCACTGTATTAAAGGAATGGAATGTTTGCCTATCTGTGTCTATTGTAACATTCTATCTCCTCGAGGAGATAGAATGGAAGATGGAAGATAAATAAAGTGTTGTTATTATTATTATTATTATTATTATTATTATTATTATTATTATTATATGATAATAATATGATAACAACAACAATACTTTATTTATCTTCCTCTCTATCTCCCCAATGGGACTCATAAGAATAACAATAACAGTAATAATAATGATAATTCATGCTCATAGTTCTTCAGAGAAATCCACTTACCACCCACGGTTTCATCTCCTCCAAAAGTCTGTCTGTAGCACAGCATCAGTTCAACGTTGTAACACTTGTAGATCGTGATAAGTAATGCCAGCAAAAGAAGGATTGCCCCCAAACCTCCGGCAAGCTCGATCTTGGAGATCAGGTCTAGGATCAAACATGAAAAGTTGGTTAGGTTAGGAAAAGGTAAGATGGTTATGCTTGAAGTTGCCTTAGATCCCATCCTGAGAGGAAGCCTGGGTAAAAACCAAAATGAAGAGATGGCAAAGACCCACCCAGAGGAAAAGTGTTCTTGCCATACATCAAGGGAACCCCTGACCGTAGAGGGAAGCTGATGGAGAAACACAACCTACAAACTATCTCCAGACCCACCAAGAACATCCAACAAATGCTCCATTCAGCAAAGGACAAAGGATACCTCTCATCTCTGCAAGAGGATACCATGCAGCTGTGGTCAAGTCTACATAGGGACCACCATTTGTTGTTGTTCATTCGTTCAGTCGCTTCCGACTCTTTGTGACCTCCTGGACCATCCCAGGCCAGAGCTTCCTGTTGTCCATCACCACCCCCAGCTCCTTCAGAGTCAAGCCAGTCCCTTCAGAGTCAAGCCAGCTGCGTTCGTACCTTGGGAGGGCTGACTTGGTCACGGTAGTACATGCTTTGGTTACATCCCGCTTAGACTACTGCAACGCTCTCTACGTGGGGTTGCCTTTGAAGACTGCCCGGAAGCTGCAGCAAGTCCAACGCGCGGCAGCCAGATTACTAATGGGGGCTGGGTACAGGGAGCACACCACTCCGCTGTTACGCCAGCTCCACTGGCTGCCAATTAGCTTCCGAGCACAATTCAAAGTGCTGGTGTTGACCTATAAAGCCCTAAACGACTCCGGCCCTGTTTACCTCTCCGAACGTATTATCCCCTATGAACCATCAAGATTACTAAGATCATCTGGAGAGGCCCTGCTCTCGGTCCCACTGGCCTCGCAAGCGCGGCTGATGGGGACGAGGGACAGGGCCTTCTCGGTGGTGGCCCCGCGACTCTGGAACTCTCTCCCTCTGGAGGCCAGAACCGCCCCATCCATCCTAACATTTAGGAAACGGGTGAAGACGTGGCTGTGGAGTCAGGCCTTCGAGGAATGAGACAACACCATAGGACCCTGGATGGAAGTTGATGTAGATCCATCTTAATAGGACGACTGACCACTGTAGTTTCATATATAGTGTTTTTAAAGTTGTTTTTGTAATTGTGATATATGATATTTTAATGAGTGTATATGTTTTTTATGGCTGGAAACCGGGCTGAGTCCCTCAATGAGGTTGAGAAGCTCGGTATAGAAAACTGTGAAATAATAATAATAATAATTCAAGGATACCATCCCTCCACCTTGCACTTGGTTGGCCCCACTTCCTTTTTCCTTCCCTTTTCCCCAGCATCATTGTCTTCTCTAAGCTTTCCTTTCTTCTCATGATGTGGCCAAAGAACTTCATCTTGGCCTCTACTATCCTTCCCTCCAAGGAGCAGCCGGGCTTTCCTTCCTGGAAGTATGGACTGGTTGGATCTTCTTGCTGTCCAAGGCACTCTCAGAACTTTCCTCCAGCACCACCATTCAAAAACATCTATCTTCCTTCGCTCAGCCTTCCTTCTGGTCCAGCTCTCACATCTGTAGGTGACTACGGGGAATACCATTGCTTTAACTATGCGGATCTTTGTTGCCAGTGTGATGTCTCTACTCTTCACTATCTTATCGAGATTGGTCATTGCTCTCCTCCCAAGAAGGAAGCGTCTCCTGATTTCCTAGCCTCAGTCTGCGTCTGCAGTATCCTTCCCTCCAATGAGCAGTCGGGCTTTCTTTCCTGGAAGTATGGACTGGTTGGATCTTCTCGCGGTCCAAAGCACTCTCAGAATTTTCCTCCAACATCACAGTTCAAAAGCATCTGCCTTCCATCTTACTTATGGTCCAGCTCTCACATTCATAGGTTACTACGGGGAATAGCATTGGTCGTGGGCCATCCAATCCAACCCCTAGCAAGACGCAGGAAAATTGCATTCAAAGCACCCCCAACAGTTGGCCATCCAGCCTCTGTTCAAAAGCCTCCAAAGCAGGAGCCTCCACCACAACCTGGGGCAGAGAGTTCCACTGCTGAACAGCTCTCACAGTCAGAAAGTTCTTCCCCATGTTCAGATGGAATCTCCTTTCCTGTAGTTTGAAGCCGTTGCTCTGTGTCCTAGTCTCTAGGGCAGCAGAAAGGAAGCTTGCTCCCTCCTCCCTAAGACCTCCCCTCACACAACACAACATTGTTCAAACTTCCCCAAACATGAATCAAGGAACATGGAAGGCACTGTAGACTAACTCAACCTGATAAGTCAGCCATAGCAGAGCACCTGATGAACCAACCTGGGTACAATATATTATTGGAGAACACTGAAATGCTGGACCACTCTCACAACCACTGTGTCAGATTACACAGCATACATCATCATCATCATCATCATCATCATCATCATCATCATCATCTTTAATTACTTATTAATCGCCCTCCATCCGAGAATGCTCTAGGCAATTTACAGCTAAATTGTAAAAGATAAAATACATACATACAGAATTGAAAAATTAACAGAGATCGAATGCTATAGTGAAAAGCCAGGTGTCTGAAGTGCCAGAGTAAAAGGCCCGAAGTCACGCATGGCTCTCATGTAGGGCGGCAAGGAATCCCACAAGGCAGGGGCAGAAATGGAGAAAGCCCATTTGCGCCTGGTCCTTTCCAAGGGCACTTCTCTAGGACCCAGTCTATGGAGTAAGTCACGTTGGGATGGTTGTTGCGACCTCTGACGATGGGAGAAGGAGAGGCGGTCCCTAAGGTACGATGGACCCTGGCCGTAAAGAATTTTAATGGTCAGAACTAACATCTTATACAGGCCACGGGACTCAGTTGGAAACCAATGCAAATGCCGCAACACTGCTGTTTTATGGCATTTCATGGGCCTTCTTATGAGTAACCTGGCTGCAGCATTTTGGACAATACGGAGCTTTCGGGTTGTAGACATTGGAAGGCCAACATACAGGGCGTTGCAATAGTCCAGCCTAGACGTGACCGTGGCATGGATGACTGTTGCCAGAGCCTTATCCGACAGGTAAGGTGCCAGTTGCCTCGCTTGTCGTAGATGGAAAAAGGCCTGTTTGCTGGCAGCAGCCACCTGAGCTTCCATTGTCAGCTGCGAATCCAGGACAACACCTAAGCTCTTAACAGTGGTCGATGGAGATAGGGCGGCACCATCGAAGGTGGGCAATGGAGGAGTCAGACCTGTCAGGCGGCCATGCCAGAGAATCTCAGTCTTCGCCGGGTTCACTTTCCGTCTGCTAGCACGTAGCCAGTTTGACAGAGCTTCCAGACATCAGGTGAAATTGTCTGGAACTGACGTTGCTCCAGGCACAGAAGGAGTTGGGTATCGTCCGCATATTGGTAGCAGTCCAGGCCGAAACTCCGAGCCAAACTAGCAAGGGGTCTAACGTAGATGTTGAAAAGAAGAGAAGAGAGAATTGCACCTTGGGGGACCCCACATAGGAGGGGGGATCTATCGGAGACTTGATCCATATACTCTACGTGTTGACTCCGGTTCCGGAGAAATGAGTCGAACCAATTGAGGGCCTGACTGCGAACCCCGGACATGGCAAGACGGTGAATCATTAGATCGTAGTCGACGGTGTCCAATGTGCGGGAAGGTCAAGAAGTACCAACAGATCCACCGTTGGAGTTCATCCATAATGGCAACCAGGATTGTCTCGGTCCCATGGCCCCGGCGAAAACCTGATTGGAAAGGGTCCAGGCTGGCTATGTCAACCAGGAATTGTTGCAATTGTCCCAGTACGGCCCGCTCTATCACCTTGCCTAAGAATGGCAGATTAGAAACAGGATGGTAATTGGCAAGGGTCATAGGATCCAAGCTAGGTTTCTTTAACAAGGGACGAACCCTTGCCTCTTTTAGGTTGTCCGGAAAAAAACTTTGTTCAAGAGAGCCATTGATTATACTGCACAACGGATCGAGTAGATGACCATCCATGAAACACAATAAGCCAACCAGAGCAATAGATCAGCCTTGACTACACGTTCGATCATCATCCTGGCATATGCTCTACATTTTGCTATATTGCATTGCAAAGGACTTATTATCTCTGCAGCACAGGAAAGCGTGAGAACATTACCCATGCTGCCAAGGCCCCTTTTGATGGCCCATTGAAGGTCGTAAATGGCAGGATGATTTCCACAGGGGTGGGTGGGTTTTGCCGAAGGGTCGTGAAAACATTCATAAAACTGTCCTCCGGTTCATCTCAGTCCCGTTTGCAAGCAACGGCATGGAGTCGACATGAATCACAATCCCTATAAGCCTGAACCACTGGGAAGCCCTCGCTAACAGCCTGAAATGCCATTTCCAATACGGCATAAGAACCCAAAGCCTTGCATTAACCTTGTATTCCGGTTTGCCCGCCCATTTAAAAACCATCAAGAAGCCAATCCAATACTACAAGAGATGCTTCAGAAAAGAGATATTAATTTCCACCCGATGTCGGCGCTGATATTTATGGCCACGATAAACAAGCATGGGGAGAGGAATAAAACTCTGGCGATGCACAGAATGAAAAGGAGGGGAAGATAAAGCTCTCAGAAACTTAGATGATGTGACGAGTTTATATATCATCAGCACAGCTTTGAAGTTGATACACAAAGAGAGAGAGAGAGAGAGAGGCAGCGATTCCACTGTTTCATCTTGCAAATCCTCCCGCTTCGGTAATTTATGATGGGATATTGTTGCTTGCCAAGGTATCGTGGCATCAGAGAATCAAAGAAGAAAGGGATGTAGACACACTCCTGTTAGTTGTTTCAGGGAGATTAAAGCGGTTTCCTGGCACTAGCCACAAGAGTCAGCACCATCTCCTAGTGAAAAAAACCAAGCCTAGATGCCGCCATACCTACTAACTATCGCCCAGTTTCAAACCTTCCGTTTTTGGGCAAGGTGATTGAATGGACAGTGGCGGGGCAGCTGCAGCAATTCTTAGATGAGACTGCAGGTTTGGACCCCTTTCAATCAGGCTTTCGTTCAGGTCATGGGACAGAGACTGTCTTGGTAGCTATTACTGACGAAATTCGTCGTC